CCCCCACCTCCCAACCCCTCCTTCATGCCCTTTGCTTCTACTCTGCCTTTGCCCCCAGCACCACGCGCTCCCTCTGCACCCGAAGCAGACGATGAAGAAGGCTATGACTCCTAGCGCCTCTGCCCCCCAGGCCATACCCCCTTTTAGTTGGTTTTAGCTGCTCTGGGAGAAGAGAATATGGAAGTATTCTTAAATTCACTAATAAAACAATAAAAGGGGGGGAAGCAAATCTTCAACAAACTAAGAAGAACACCCACAAACTGGGAAGAAAAAACTATGGCAGACTGTCCCTTGGACAAAGGCCTTCTATCTAGAACGCATAAAGAATTATAAAAATAAAAAAATAAAAAAAAAATCAAGCCCCCAAAATTTAAAGACCCAATACAAAAATGGGCATCTAAGATAAATAATTCACTTCTTATGGAAAAAAATACAAACGGTAAGTAAATATGTGAAAAAATGTTCAGCATCATTAGTCATTAAAGAGATGCAAATTAAAACAACACTAAGATTCCATCTCACCCCAGAAAAAAATGGCTAAAATCAAGAAGTCATCTAATAACAAATGCTGGAGGGGCTGTGGGGAAAAAAAGAAACCTTCTCCACTGTTGGTGGGAGTGCAGACTGGTATAGCCACTCTGTAAATCAGTGTGGAGATTCCTTAAAAAGCTCGGAGGTCCAGTTCAATCCAGCTATTCACTTCCTGGGTATTTTTCCATAAGAACTGAAAAGGGCTTTTTTCCATAAAAACTTCATACCACAGTGATATATGTGCACCCGTGTTCATGGCAGTTCAATTTGTCATAGCTTAATCTTGGAAAAAACTGAAGAATGGATAAGGATGTGGTACTTTTCCACAATGAAGTATTATTCAGCTATAAAATAGGATAAATTTGAGTCTTTTGTTGGTAAATGAATGCAATTAGAGACCACACTCTTAAGTAAAATAAATTAGACCCGCATGTGCAAATATCATATTGTCTCCTTAGTATGAGAACCTGAAAGACAAAGTAAAGCCTGAAGGGTACAATAGATCCTGGGAAAGAGGATGAACCTATTCCAAAGGAAGGAATTGCTGAGTTGAGAACAGGAGAGGGAGTGGGGAAAAGAGATATGTCTATGTATGTAAGCAGGATGGTTTAGGCAATTGTACTGTGGATTTGTGCTGATATATGGAAAGGCGTAGTTATGCTGAATTTGTTTTGTCTCTTTTTTTCAATTGTTTGTCTCTTTTGTTTTCTTAATTATAAATTTCTTCTTTCTTCTTTCTTCCAATTTTGCATGCATCTATCTGGTAATATGAACAACTAGTTGGAAGACAACTCTATGTACTACAACAAATACTGTGAAATTCATATTTTGTTAAATGACATTTTGTATCACTTATAATTTTTCTGTTTTAATACTATTTTGTATTCTCTTTATTTTTAATGAAGAAAATAACCTTTATTTGAACAAAAACATTAGTATGTGCCCAGAATTCTACTTTACATTGCCAAAGCTATGGTTCCCAGAGAAACAAATAAAAACACAAGATACCAGGGTAAATTTCTGTTTTACATAGACAATATCCTAGTATAAGTATGCTCTCTGATATATTTGGGAGTTATACTAAAATTGTTGTTGATCTGAAATTACTGCTATTTCCAAGAGTAGGAGCCTGGTGCTAGTCGTAACAGCAAACTTGAGTACGAAGTTGGTGTGAGGCAGGTCCAACATTCTGACATTAGGTAGGCAAGGCAGGGGGAAGTTGTGGCCATGTGTGTTCATAGGTGTGTCAGTAAGCAGCTAGGATAAAGATGGTGGACCAAAGGCCAAAGACCAAATTAAGACCTCAGTAAAAGAGAGAGTTTGAAAA